AAAGTTCTTTCAACAATGAATTCTATTGATCCTGCTATTCAGTTCACTTTTGAACTTGAGACTTGCAATTCTCTTCTGTTTCTCGACATTCTGGTCACACGTAACACATCCAACTTCAGTACTACGTTTTACCGTAAACCTTCATCGGTTTTGCCTTCCACCACACTTTAAATCATGTCATCCGACTAAACAAAAAGTTAGCTTCATTTTATTCCTATGTTTTCCGTGCTCTTCAAGTTTGCTCCTCCAAACTAGCCCTTGATGAAGAACTAAATTATTTAAAAGCAATAGCTATTGACAGGGGCTTTTCACCCAACATTATTAATCAAGCAGTTAAAAATTCTCATCTCAACACACTAAAAGGCCACACTCTTATTTTAGGAGATTATAAAAATTCTGTTGTCATTCCCTTCTTTCCATCAATTAGCTATAAAGTTTGCACATATTTTGCAGAAATTTAACTTTCGGGTTGTTTATTCTCCCATCAATAAATTCCGAGTTCCATACTCAAGGACCCCATTCCGGATATGAATTCCTGGGGTATTTATAGGATTCCTTGCCAGTGTGGTTTAATTTACATTGGCCAAACTAAGAGAGCCTTAAAATTTCGCGTCAAGGAACATGAGGCATATGTTAGAAAAAAGGAAACACAGAAGTCTTCTGTTGCTCAACATTGTTGGTCCGAAAATCACACTTTCAATTTTTCTGCTGCCAAAATTATTCAAAAAACATCTTCCATTGGAGAACTGGATTTTCTAGAGGCATTTCACATTCAAAAAATCTTTCTGTTCTAGTTAACGATCCTAATTCCAATCCATCTTTGCCTTCGGCCTTTAAAGAAATTATGTTTTAGTTCTGGTTTCATCCAACAGATGGCGCCACTTGCTTATTCTTGTCCAGGCTTTCTTATCATATCTAATCATTATTTCCTATCTTGTTCATTTGCGGTTTTGTCAGCTTGGATGGTGGTTCGGCAAACCATCGAAACTAGTCTTGTGAAAATTTGAAAATATAACACTGATTTTTGTTGCTTGACTTCTGAATTAGTACAATAAATACTATCAAAGGTATGAGAAGTGTATTATTTTATTTCATTTTTCAAATAGCCAGAATTTTGAAAATGCTAAGATTATGACTTGAACAATGCTAAGACTTGAACTTCTAATAAGTTAAAATAAAACTTTCACATTAAGAAATAGCATTCACTTTTTAAAATTATTTTTATATGTGTAACAAAAGAAAAACAGTAACTATGCAGAAAAATATTGCCTCCAAAATAACAAAGAAAAATAACATAGTTAAACCAAATAGCTGAAATCTATTTTAAAAAGATAACACAACTTCCAATTAAAAAAAAAATCACAAAGACTATTTGGTATTTTAAAGCTCTGTAGAAATATCCCCATTTTTCTTACATAATTAATACAAAAGAAATTTCTGAATATCTGAATTTAAAAAAAAAATTGAGTATTACAAACCTAATAATGCATCTAGAAAATGGACTTCCAGTGCTTTTGAAGCATAATCTTCAACTAACTGATTAACAGATGAAAGACTCATAATGGGAGCTGTTTCATTCTGAGGTTCCAAATCGTTAATTATGGCTTTTAGAGCTTCTTCAGCATCTTTCAACTAGAATATGGATGGAAAATTTTTACTTTCTTTGAATATATATATATACACATACACACACATATATAGGAAAAAAAAAGAGGATAAAATATCACTCACTTCTGCATTCATAAGCATTTGTTCCAAAAGAAGATAAGGATGAGCAATTAAATCAGCATAACCATCTTTATTGCCCGATTTTATAGCAGAAAGCATCTGAAAATAGATTTTTTCTAAAGAAATAAAAATATTCATTCATTCAAGTTGAAAAACAAAAATTAATATTTTTCAAGAGTTGTGCATTACATACAAATGTGACATTGGAATTTTGAGTTTTTGTGCTACAACATATTCAGTTATTGTGTCAATCCAAATCAGCAGGAAACCCAGTACCCAATGCCTATTACATAAAATTCCCCATTGCTTTACGACACTTTCAAACAATAAACATAAGTGTAATTTTAATTTTATACAAAGTATGAACAACATAAAATTTTCTGGTTAGTTAGCAATTAATTGATCATTTAGTTAAGCAAATCATGGTGATGATTCAAATTGAATGTCAAATAACACCAATTGTTTAATATTGGCATACCATTATATAACATGATTATAAGAAAACATGACATACTAGCATAAAAACATATCTAGCAGAGTTAAAAATATTCATGATATAAACAGAAACAATACAAAATAATGTTCATTTTATTATTCTGCAAAAAGACATATGCTGCCACAATATTTTTTAAAAGAGAAAAATTCATAATCTATAATGAAATAAAATATATTGATAAAATAAATACATAATACAATACTTATTATAAATATACTTCAATAAAATTAGATAACTGTTATTCTAATTTTATGTGAATTAAACATCAAAAGTCCTACAAAGTGGAATTAAGTTACAATAAAAACTTACTTTTAATCCAAGTAACATGTTAAAATAATGATAATGTTTGTCAGATGGAAAATCATTCTTTACCAAATACTGCACTAAACACAATTTAGATTCAATAGATGGAAGTTCTGGTAGCACCATATCACAAAGAGATATGCATTCTGATGAATCTTCAAATGCATTAAGTATCTAAGCAAACAGCAAGAAATATTTTAAATATTTTATTAAATACATTTGGATTTAGATTAACAGAACATTTTACACATAATTTTATTAGTAATTTGAACAAACTAAGCTATTATAAAATAATTTTTAAGGATTAAAAAGGGAGTTTTAATGAATGAATTTCGTTAAAAGTAAAACAATTTCGCATTTCAGTTAAATTGTCCTTATATAAAAAAGATGCATTTTCTTTACCTACCCAACATCATGAAGTCATACAAAATTACACAATGCAAAAATTTAGCACACAAAGGAATATTTTAAGTATGCGTTTCTCTACAATTACCTGATAAACTTCAAGTTCTTGAATTGGAGTTTGAGTAAGAAACCATGTTAAATTCATCGACAATGCAAGCTAAAAGAGAGACATATATGAAATCATCAATATTTTATGAAGGAAGCTAATCATCATTTCTAAATTTTATCGATTGTCACATCTGACAATTAGCATATAGAACAACAAAATCCATAGAACATTGGTTAATGAGAAAACACATAATTTATTCAAAATATATATACATGGCTGGTACTAGGCATTTTGTTGCCCAGTACAATCTCTGTGGGTCCTAAATTCTGTTACTTGGTGTTTCCCTAATTCTAAAAGTTTTGCTGTCCACTGCCCCCCCCCAATAATGCACCTAAAATTTTTGACATTCCTAAATTTTAGCACTTGATATTTCTTTAAATTCTAAAAATAAAAATTAATAATTTTTCTGCCCCTAAACTCTGCCTTCAGCAGATGCACAGATTGCACTGGTTCTGGAAATGATCCTGTGTATATGTACAAATAAATGACTTAATTTACAACTCTTAAATTAATAAATTTAAATAACTGATAGATGAAAATTAATATACTTCATTTTCAAGGCTCAAGATATATTTTTACACAAATCAAACAAAAAAAAGTAAAATCAATAGATATACATACTTCAAAATCATTTTAACAGCAGTGGCCAGATGAGCTTGTTAATGCATAAATGCAAGGTGTAGCCTGACAAATTAAAGGACTGAATAATAAAATAAAAAAGGGAAATAATAAATGCATGTTTAGAAAGACTGACATCTGAACTCTTGTTAAAGCCAATTTAAACAGGTTACTTTGGGTTTGCATATCAAAACAATGTAATCATTTTCATTTATTGAGAAGAATCTCCACAAAAAACAAAAAAAAAAAAAAAAAAAAAAAAGGTTTTGAGATAGAACAATGTTTTAACATTAAGTTTTGTTTACAAATTAGGTAAATCTACTGCCAACATGCTAGAGATGATTAAAAAATTATATAGTAGTACATGATTATAAAGAACAAGTATACGAGCAATACAATCGCTTTAAATATGGGCATGAAAGCATTGAAGAAGAATAAAAGAAAGAATGTTCTTCGGCTTTAAAGAATGAAAAAAATGGGGACAAAACTCATTCCTCACTAAAAGCTGATAGCCATGTAACAATCCAGTAACTTTCAGATTTTGTTTGGGATAAGCAAAGAAAGCTGTAAGTTAATTTTAATTGAAAATCTGAAAATAGGGAAAGTTCATGTTTGATTTGTTCCTTGGATTTTGAAAAAACATGGAAAAGAAGACAGAAATGCTTGCTTTGAAGATCTGCTGACTGTTGGAGACAGCAGAACAATTTCTTAAAATGTATCACAGCCGGAAATGACAGCTGGTGAATATAATACCACCTAGAAAGCAAAAGACAAAATGCTCGGTGGAATAAAACTCTCTTCTCCCATCCAAAATGAAACAGGGAGCACAAATGTCAAAATCAAAAACTGAGAAAATCAAAGACTGTAAAATAATGAATCTAGATTAGATTAAGATGAATTTAGATACACTGAAAATTTTAAATTGTTAAACTCTAAAAATAATTAGAAAAACTTCTAATATAATATAAATGAATAACAGTAATAAAAATGAATAATTTGAAAAAGGAAAAGGCAATAATAAATTTCTTTTGTTATGCATTAATTAGTATTTTGAGTTTTTAATATGAATTCCATTAAAATTTAACATTTTTAATAGCATTTTGTTCCATAGTTTTATCTAAATCCAGTAAAGAATTAACTTTATTACACAACAGTTTTGCTCTGCATTTACTAGAGAATAATCGAAAATAAAAAAATTTATTATTAAATTTTAATGTACAGTCTTTGCAGCAATAATGCAAGATTTTCTCCCTTAAAAGTCTATTCATAAGTTTTTTGCTTATTTACTGTATATATTATTCACAATTTAATATTATTTCTTAGATGTCAATGCAAAAATTAAATAACTTCACACACACACAAGAATTTTGGCCCACTGAATAAATTAATATTTTTACCATCTTCTGTTCTTTGTTTACAACATGCAAGTTATTCCACTCAACAGCAAGTTCATATTTTTCACATGATTTAATCAGATCTAATATTCTAGATTGATCCCACACAGAACAGTCAGCCACTTCTTGCCAATTATTAAAAACATAGACACAATCTTTTGCATCAGAATCTCCATACATTTCTGAAGCATCAAATATCTGAAAAAAAAGCTTATCATAATTAAAGTTATTACTAATATATATTTTTAAATAACTTAAAATTAAGAAACAGCACTTCTAGCATGTTTGCTCACAAAGCTGATATGGTGCATATGTTCACATGTACAAAGATCTGATCTGCATTTTTTATGCTTTTAAATAATTTTCTGTTGTTTTATTATTTAAATATCAAAACAGCAGATTACTTTTAGCAGTCAAGAAATGCACACAAATATACTCGCAGTTGCATATGAAATCATATTTTTGCATCCTGTGCTGACTACAAGATAACTCAGACGTAGATAAACAATACTTACCCATTCTGCACATTCATGCATAACTTCTTATTGTACATACAATAATAGAAAATACAATGAAAGTTATTTATCATTTGAGTTTACTTGGAAGGGAGATAAAATGAACTCTCAATGTGTTGTTTGCAGTGAACTATTATCCAATCAAGTATGAAACCATTGTTTCTTAAAAGACATCTTGAATCTAAGCATAGCAATTTAAAGGATAAATCTGAAGAATAAGGCTTTATAGTTGATAAGAGGAAATTATTGGAGTTAAAAAATAATAAACAAGTAATGAAAGGTTTTGCTACTTCGTGTGAAAAAGCTTTGGAAGCTAGCTACCTAGTAAGCCTAAGAATTGTCAAGACTGGGCAGGCTCACACTATTGGAGAAAACCTTATTTTAGCAGCTTAAGATATCATTTCCGCATTATTCAATGATAAAGCAGCTAATGAACTTAATAATATTCCCTTATCAAATGTCGATAAATTCATAAAATGGTAAATTCCATAAAAGAGACATTTACTCAAAAAATAAAACACAATGAGTATTTCACATTGCAATTGGATGAAAGTACTGATATGACAAACTTTGTCCAATTATTAGTTTATGTACATTTCGAAGAAACTAAACAAATTGCTGAAGAGTATTTCTTTTATGAATCTCTTCATGAGAGAGCAACTGCAAATGAAATTTTCAAAGTAACTGACAATTTTATGTCTGATAATGATATTCCTTGAAATAAGTGCCATATGCAATGATGGAGCTCAGGCTTCATCACGAAAACATCCCGGTGTTATTTCTCACATAAAGAAAGTCACATCTGAAACTAAATCTACTCACTGCTCCATTCATTGTGAAGCTTTCACAGCCAAAACAATCCCTGAAAACCACAAAATCATTTTGAATCAAGCTGTGAAAATTGTGAATTTTATTAAAAGCCAAACTTTAAAATTCAAGAATAATTATGTTTTTAAGCCAAGAGATAGGCAGTGAATGTGAAACGGTTTTGTTACATTCTGAAGTATGAGTAAGGTATTAATTTAGAACTCAAATAACAAAAATCAGCACTATACTTTCAAACTTTCACAGGACTAGTTTCGATGGTTTTACCAAACCATCATCCTCAGCTGCAAAAGCGCAAATAGCAAATATTAAATTGCTTGCATTTGCGCTTTTGCAGCTGAGGATGATGGTTCAGTAAAACCATCGAAACTAGTTCTGTGAAGATTTGAAAATATAGCGCTAATTTTTGTTGTTTGACTTCTAAATTAATACTTATTTGGCATGTTATTGCATCTTAATTATGAGTAAGGTTAGAGGCAAAGTTTTAAATCGCTTTTTTGAACTTCGAGCAGAAATTCAAATTTTTTCCTGTGATTCAAAATTCGAATTGCAAAAATGTTTATTTAGTGAATTTTAGTAGCGTGTTAAGCATATCTAGCTAATCTTTTTGGAAAATTAAGGATTACAAGGACAAAGTGTTAATTTGTTTACCATTAGAGTTTATTGATACCATTAGAGACCATTAAAGACAATAAATGCAATGATAAACAAATTCGAACTAATAATCAAAAAATTGGATAATATTTTAAGCTTTTTATCGCTTTTAGAAAGTTTTCTATTTAAAAATAAAAGATATATTTGCATCCCACATTAAAAGTAATTTTTTTTTTTTCATTGATAAATAATTTCAACATGTATTTTCCTGAGAAAAGAAAGAAAGAAAACTGGATTAGAAACCCATTCTGTTCAAATATACCTGAAATTTTACTTCATGAAGAAAAAGAATGACTGACAGAAATGTTCTGTGATTAAACACTAACTGAAGATTTAAAAAAATAACACACTTTTCAACTTTTGGCTGAACTGAAAAAAAGAATTTAAAGGCATTTCAAATAAAGCTATTTAATTTTTATTACCTCTTTGCAGAACTTATTTGTGTGAACAAGAATTTTCTTCCATGTTATATTTGAAAAATAAATACAGAACAAAAGTAAAAGTGGATCCTGATTTGCAGTTTAAAACTAAGTGAAATAAGACCAAACATAAGGAAACTGATCTCTCTTAAACAGGCCCAAATTTCAAACTAAATTTTAGAATTTAAGTATCATAACTTAAATTTTGATAATTAAAATGGTAGTCAATTTTTAATCTTTTTTTTAAACCTGTGCATATTTAATACATATAGCCAATAGGTTGTGGAATTTTCAAAATATATTTCTTTTTAAATATTTCTATTGAGAAACTGAAAAATAATCTTTGTAAAATGTAGTAGTAGTACTAAAGTTTTTCAGTTTTTTTTTTTTTTAGATGGTATGTATTAGTCAAAAGGTTGAGAACCACTGCATTAACATATTTTCAGATATGTATTAAACTAACATTGATTCAACAGATTCATAACATGAAAAAAATTAAATATTAAATTGTGTGCAGTACTATTTTTTCAATCACTTATAACATACAAAAAGTACAGTCAGCCCTTTCTTGGAAACATCTCCTGTACACAACCATTTCTGAAAGAGACTAGTATTTTTGGAGAACATAAATATAAATAATAAAAATCAGCTATCTAAAGCAATCATTTACACTGAACATCAAAATAAATTGGAACTGCAAGTGCAGGGCTTAATTTCTAAAATTAGAAGTGCCAAAGCCCTCTGGAAGACTGTCAGGAAGGAAGAAAAAAATAATAAATATATAAAATAACTAAAAGTTTAAATAATTAAACCAAAATTAAAAGAAACGTAAAAAGATAAATAGAAATTTAATTAATTTAAAATAATTAAACAAAAATAAGTTATCGGATTTCATCTTATTTAAGGGCTCGGCTAGAATTACAATCAGACAATCTCTGGCTAAATTCAAGCCCTTATACATATAAGGCACTATTTCAAGAGTTAATAGATATAAAAAGTATTCTTTCTTTCAGCACACCAATAAAAAAAAAAGATAAAACAATTAAAGTGTCACAAAGGAGAATAGTTAGAATTCTAGAAATAGTATGAGGATCTAGAACGAAATTTTAACAGAAAAATATAGCTTTGAAAATAAAGAGCGAAGAGCAAAATTTTCTGATCGTGATGCCCTGTTGAAATAATTCTAGCCATCAAGCCGAAATTTTCCATAAATATGATCTGTTAACATGGTGAGAATAAACATGTGATTCCTCTATACAAGTGACAGTAGTGGTCTCCAGTGTTTGGTCATGTTGCGCAAAAAGTCTGCAGAAGGTCTGTAGTAGGAAGTCACTAGCATGGCATGTGCTCATCAGGATATAACTTTTAGCATTTTCAGGAATGAAAGATTAAATTTAGTCAGTCTCAAAAATCTTTCCACTTCCTAGAGGACTATCAGGAAGGAATTAGAATAGATTTTTAAAGCACATTTATTAATAAAATAAAATTTGTCTGTTGAAATTGGGGTTCACTTATAGAAAAGAAGCGCTGCAGCCCTTTCATTTAGGGCTCAGATGCGGAGAAAATTATACTTTATCTCAAAAACTGAGAAGTACCGGAACCAGGCTATGGTGGGCTCTAGCATAATTTAAGCTCTATGAAAGTGGTCATCATAAAGGGTTTACTGTACTTTCTCTCCAGCAAGAAGTTTTCAAATAAATTCAAAAAGTATAAAAATTTAACAAATTAAAATTTCCCTATTATTTCATGAATTTATAACAGCATTATTAAAGTATTTAATTTAAAAAAATACCTTTTTATACAAAATTATCTCCTTCAGTTTAGTTTTCAAAGAGTTATGTACATTTGGATGCCTTAGAATTCTTTTATCAGATAAACAAAACTTTAAAGCTTGTATTGCAAAATTATCAGACCACTTGTAAATATTTTGTAACACTGTATTTGCCCTGTGCACGAGGTCATTAATGCACAAAGCATATCTGCAATGCACATCTGAAGAACTCGCAGGATTAGTACTAGCCATGTGCTCCAGAATAAGTAAACGGATAAGTTCAGCAGTCCATTCCTCTTTATCACAATTTTCAAGGAAGATATCAATATATAATAGTGCGTTCTGCCATTTGCCTGGCCTAAAACATGCTTCAATTTGATGAGTGTAGAACTTCTTATTTGGAAAAGGACTAAGTGCTGATGAAAACCAAGAATATTCGGCATCCTTTGTCATCAGCAAATTTTTATAAAATCTCAGTAAATTTATAGCCGGAACTTTAGAGCTCCACTCAAAAGAAGACGAAAGTTCTTTTGTAAAGACTTCAAAACTTATGTTTCCTTCAGAAAATTGAGGCATGCTTTCATCTCTAGCCACTTCAATAAGCTGATAAAGAACTACACATTTTTCTTTAATATAATTCAAAACAATGGCTTGAGGATCCATTAAAGGAGTCAATTTTGTGTAATCTGTATTCAGGTGCACAACTTTGGGAGTGACATATTCCAACTTAATTCCAAATGATTGTAATGGGGGCTGAAATTCAAGCGTAAATGGTAGCTGCTTCTTTCCTGATGAATCTAAAAAATTAGAAAAATAAAATTTAAAAAAAAAAAAAAAAATACTACTTTTTAAAGCAAGGAAAAATTTTTAGCTAATTTAGTTTTAATAACAAATCAAAACATGCAAAATTATTTAATTATGAAAGAACCAAACTTAATATCACATATATAACTATTATTTTATTATTCACATATTCCAATATTAAATCATAACTATTGAGTGCCTTAAAAGTGTGCATACATAGATAACAAATAGATAATAAAGATGAAGCTTTGGCTGGATCATCAATTTTCACATTGCTGGATTGCATGACTCAGATTTTTCAAACTGGGTAACTGCTGTAGTCACTGTGGGATGATCTATCCCTGACCAATATCTTTCTCTCAGCCCATATGAATGATGGCTATGTACCAGGATACCAATTTAGAATACAGTAAGTTGGTGTTGGTGTTGGTGTACTTAATTATGGCAAAGCACACTAGGGCTATTTGCCTAAGGGGATGCCTTCGTTGAGGTCTTTCTAAGGGAAACTGGCTCGTATACATGTTACACATGGGGAAAACCACGAAAACACCCATGCAGCCAGCCTGTTCACGGGATTTGAACCTCGGACTGAACTACCAGTGTTCAGCGACTTTACCGCTCGGCTGCTGGTGGGCCACTTTAGAATACAGTAAGACATGAGGACATGAAATGCAGAGTCTAATAGTTTCTATATCATATCCATACTGCAGTTTCCAACATTAAAGCATTATATCTCCCTATGTATGGAAACTTTTTCCCCCACCTTGTAAATAATTCCATAAGAAACAAGTCACGCAGCCTATTTCATTAAACAACAAGCAAAATAACTGAAATTTTCTACATTAATGTCAATAGATAATTTTGTAATATTTCAGTTTCGGATGCATAATTAACTTGCACACAAAGATTTTGAAAATTCATTGAACTTGAAAAGATAACAGGAGCAAATTAACTAAAATTAATAATTATAAATATATCGGATACATTTCGCGATTACTTGAGTCACTTCTTATTACATCTATTTTAACAGATGCCATGCTTAGATATATTTATGCACAATTTCATTATGTCAGATTTAATTAGGAAAAAGTCTTAATTAAGCAAAATATTTTTCTTTATTAAAACAAAGTGTGTTTTCATCTAATTTTTTTTTTTTGTTACTACTAATAAGAAGTAATTTTAATACCACTACAGAAAAGTGCAGAGATTCCTGCTCACAATGTGTTATTCTTGCATGTATTGTAGCATTATGTTTTTTCCCTGCATTTCTAAAAACAGAAGACCAAAAGTTCATTTTATTACAATATCCTTTTTATTCCAAAAAGGAAAACAAATTGCTAATTAAATAGCTCATAAACTGTGTATAGTGTACGGACAAAGTGCTGCTTCTGCTCATACAACTTATAGGTAGTTTGGGAAATTTAAGTGCAGACATTTTGGCTTAAAAAATTATTCCCCGCTCTGAACATTCTTCTGTAAAAGAAGACCTGTTAAAAAATATTGTCCCTAAAAATCTCAGTTGTAGAGTTCGGGAAATAGCACGCAGATATTAAATTTTCTTAATAGTATAGTAGATGATCGTTCGAATAAGCCTGGGGTATGTAAACCAGAATGTATGGGTATTCTACTTCTAATGGAACAGAATATGCTTGCTAGAATTTCAACATGGAATTCTTTTTTAAGAAGGAACTCTCTCTCTCTTTTTTCTTTTTAAATAGCTCGTCACTCGGGATAAGAAAGACATACAATAATACTGCAAGAAAAGATTACGGATAAGTAAATTTTGTAGTTATTATAAAAAAAATTTTTTAACAAGTTTGATGCCCATATGTCAAAAATTTACTGAGATATTTCATTTCGAAATCTGCTATTTTGACCACATATTCAATTTGCATAGACGGGATCAGTTAGTAAATAAATTAGATTAGTTTGAGATTGATTTTCCTCCCTTACTTGCCATTCAAAGATTTTTTTGTGATTTATTAATGTCTTTAATTTATAATTTTATTACATTTGGTATGCTGAAAGAATTTTCACATTAGTAATTCCTAAGTTTTCAAAGTCTAAAAATATGTTATTAATATTTTTGTAAAATTTTATTACTTTAGAATTATAATGTGGTAACTGCACAAAATTTCTTTAACTACAAATATTTTTCATTTTTAATTCATGCAAATAATACTACAAGCTGATTGCCTGACAATACAAAAACCTAATACTCCTTTCTAGAATACTAATTCTGTAACATTTTTTGAATAAGATCTCTATTTTGAAAAAAAAAAAAAAATTATATTGATCAATACTTTTCATGCTAATACTCTTCAAGATCAATACTTTTCATTTTCCATCTCTTAATTTTGTCCACCAGTATATACATATATTGTACAGGCAAATGGCATATTATGACATCTTAAATTTGAAAATTTACTTTTTCAAATTCTCGAGCTCTGAAAGTTTACTTTTAAAATTCATTACCCAAGAAAACACAGTACAAGCAAATTACAGTTACAGCATGTGCAACTGCATATGAGAATAATTATGAGATCATGAGACTGGTGAAGCATGATTTTAATATAACACTGTTGCTACTGATTGTGGGGGAAAAAGGAGAAAATCTACTGCTTAAAATGACAAGCATCTAGAAAAGGACAAACAAAACTTGCACTAGACAGTGACAACAGTGAGCAATTTGAAGAAACAAAGGAAGTCTGATTCATATTGTTCTTCAATTTGAAGAATTTATTTTTTAATGGTTTGCTTTTCTCTATCGATTATTTATGTTGTTTTCCATATTTGATAGCATCAAGTAAATACACTCAAACATACACATGTAGCTATATTTCTAATTCACCTTATATTATAAAATTTCTAGAATAAGTTAATAGCATATTGATAATTTAAAGATTATAGTTCTTGAATACTAAAGCACTCTCACCTATATTTTCACTAAAATTAAGCATAGAATCAGCTGAAAGCAAAGCTTGAAATAATTGATCAAGTGGAGACCTCACTAAAGTAGATAATAAATTGATAAGTCCCTCATATGGTGCCTTGTCTAAATCACTTTCGTCATCTTTGGAAAAATCCATTGCATACCAATCCAACAATTTGGGAAGAGATATCTATTAAAATAAATATATGCATATATAATATTAATTTTAAGAAGACATACAAAACTGTAGAAAAATTAGAACAGTATGAAAACAAAGGTTAATGTGATTTATGCCAGGTTGAAAATATTTTAGATCAGCAATGCCAAAATGGTTTTGAATGAGTACCCATTTATAGATAAAAATGGAAAACTTATACCCCTTACCACTTAACTGTTTCACTTCCCTGCCATATTGTGACCAAACATAAGCATATTTTTATAAACAATTTTGTATTCTAATTGATTATATGAATTCAAATCAGCAGTCAAATCTGTTACAAGTATTGCATTTATTAATTTAAGATAATTCTTAATTACGCCGAAATTAAGGCATTTTTACTTAAAGCTGGCTTTTTTCTCGTGAAACTGTAGAACAGAAAGAACTTACAGGAATCCATTTCCGAACCTGAATTAGATCATCTGAATTTTCCGTTTCCTCATCATCACTAGAGAATTCCGATAAAGAACTTTCAGGACTACCAGAATCATTTATAGAAAATTCAGATTTATTACCTGAACCAATATCAGAATTATATTTTGTTATGAGCCATTCACTGTCACCCATCGTTCTTTTATTTCATGACAAAATTAGAAAGTAATACTATTCGCAAAGCCTAATACACTGAACACTTGCAAACAAACTCATTGAATTTCTCGGCCTAATGAAATGTGGTAAAACCTATCCTTGAACTGATTTTACATTCCAGTCTCTCCTGGACTACTAGAGACATCTATTAGAAACACTGCAAAGTAAAAAATTTGGAAAAAAAAAACGGGAAAATCAGTGGATTGGTGTAGGAAAATACACTGCCCAAGCGGTGTATGGGCAAATTAAAAAAGTTCCTTTTTGCGGCAAAACAGTTAAGTGGTTAATAAGAATATAATTTATTTTTAATGAATGAATCATTTATGTATTCACATCCATAGAATAGTTGCAAGATTCTGCATTAAAAATCTACCTTAGAAATATACAGCAACCTCTTTAACTTGACTTGTAAATGATTTCACTCCTCTTGGAGAAAAGTCATCTTTGAAAGATGGATATCCTAACAAATGCTGGACATTTTCATAATAATTTTGATTTTATAAAGTGTCAAAAAAGTTGTTTACAGGCTTTATTTATATAAATATTGAATTTCCAATTATAAATTCACAAATTATAATTCACAAAATAGAGAATTATATAAAAAATGCTTTTAGTGTTGAAGGGTGGTAGAAAGGTTCTCTATATACAAAATTTAGCTTTCTATATTATCTCCATATTGACCCCCTCCAAAAAAAAAAAAAAAAAAAAAAAAAGTAAAATTTTCTTAAAATAAAATAAAAATGCTACATTCCAATTACTTATTTGGAGAAATAAATCATTAATATATATTTTTTTCCATCCAGGTGCAAAGTTAATGCTCTTTTATCCAATGTGAAATGATTAATCTGCAAAATAAGTTACTTTAATTTTACAGCTATTCTTTTAAATTTAAGGAAAATTTAGGGTTTTTTTTTTAATTTATTTAATTTTCAGTAATATTTGAATATGTTTAGATATGTAGTGAAAAGTAATTTAAGTCAACAAATTTGTTTTGTGATCTATTCATATATTTTGTTTGCGAAGCTACAACACATTTTGACATATTCACATTATTATTTTGACATATTCACATTCACATATTTGATACATTCACATAATCTGAGGTTTCACTGTATTAGCAAATTTTTGCCAATTTAATACACTTCAGATAGCAATATTATCACAAATTTTCCTCCATCTGGATTTGATACCAAATGAGTAAATAAACAATAAGCATCAGTACACTACTTTTCTATTTGGAATTAAGACTTTCTACATGGACTTAAGATATTTTTAAAAAATGCAATACAGTTTCATGAACTTCAAAACTATACTATATTAGTAACAGCTATGAATACATACTATATCATTTTTCCAAATCAATTTGTATTGAAAAATCAAAATAATCTTTCATGGCATCATCCAGATCTTCTTCAATAACTTCACTGTACATCACCTTTAAAATAAAGTTTCATATTTATATAACAGTAAATCATACATATTAAATAAATACAAAATTTACAACTGGGAAGCCTTACTTGTACAAACCAAATGCACACTGCTGGCCAATAAAATTGCTACATCAGGAAGGGAAGCAAATAGTAGAATCTTATTAATTGTAGATGATGTGATTATATTTGATAATTGATTAAGGAAGATGTGATTACATTTGCAAGGTGGTTTGGGATACACAGCATGCAGAATTCAGTACATAGGGCTGCCACCTCTGGCAGCAACAACAGCTGTAATAAAACCTGGGCATTGGGTAGAAATGATCTTGAATTGTAAATATGGGTACTTTGTTCCACATGGCTTGAAATCTATGCAAGAATTCATCAGTAAATGACAAGTGGTGGCATGAAAGTCTTTCAGTAATCCTAGACAACATATTCTCAGTACAGGGAGATCTGAAGTATATGCTGGCCAGAACATTACTCGAACACTCTGTGCATCAAGGATGATTAGGACAGAACAGAACACGTCAGAAATACAGTGTCAACTGTTATCAGCTATGTGACCAAAAGGTGACCTGAATGTGTACCCTAATGGCACCTCATACCAGCATGCCAGATGCAGGGCTCCTATGATGATGATGAATGTGAGCTGGCAATGTTCATTCCTCTCAGTGCTTCAATACACTGATACAAGCATCATGATACTGTACGCAGAATTGGGATTCATCTGAAAACATGACTTAGTGCCACTCCTGTGTCCAGTGTCATCACTTGTCACAGCATTGTAGGCAAACCTGTATCTTCTGCAGCATCAAAGGAAGCTGTGGTGATTGTGCAGCAGTCTGAAGTGCTGCAGATGTCATCACACTGTTCATACTGATAACTGTTATCCTGCAGATTAGCAAAGTTTCTGACTCAAGATATGTGATGTAGCCATAACACCCCATTAGGCCAAGAGGACAACATGTCTGTCCACTCAGGCATTCTTACACAAGACATAACACAATCTTTAGATAAACAACCAACGTTCAAATATGATTTCTCAGTGAGAAATTCATTGTACAGTCTTCCTATTTATACACAATGTAGATGGCGTTACTCATACTTGCTTCTTGTATATACCTTAGAATGCTAATCATTTGCTTATTCGAGTATGTAGTACTTTTTATGCAAATTAAACATTTGTTGCAAGATGCCTTCATGGCACAGTAATTTTAATGGTCAACAATGTAAAAGTAAAACACACTTTTAAAGCATTCACTGTAGGTATTCTCTAAAATTCAAGATCTGCCTTTAATAATACTAAATTTGAAATTTTTTATGCATACATTTCCTACTTGTTTTATCTTTTTAGTAATAACAAGGAAATTTATATTTGATGCATGTCTGCTCTTTCAAGTACATTCCCTCAAGTATACAATTACTCTCCACTAATTGAAATACAGTACAAAGTCCATAATCTGAACTCGTTGGGACTTCGGTGATTCCGGATTAGGGTTTTTTCCAGATTATAGATCATCAATTTAAATCTGGTAAGATGGCATGCAGAAATTATACAATTAAAAATATGAACCCGTAATTTATGAAATAAAGAGCAATTATGATCTAAAGGGTATCAAAATAAAAAAAAAAAAAAAAAAAAAAAAAAAAAAAAAAAAAGCTTAGTATTTATTTGTTTACTTTATTAAACATTTCTTTCAATGTAAGCTGTTTAAGTTCCTTTTTTCTTATGTCACATACCTTCCAATGCCATACTCCTAATATAATTTTGAGACGGATATGTTTTTATCCATTTTTTGCAGCAATTCCACTTTTTGTTTAATGGACATCGAAACATGCTTTCACTTTGTAGATCCTTTGGCAGCTCCAGAATTGGAAACTCTTTTTGACATAATTGAAAGTTCAAGCTTAATTTTTATAATATTGCTCTAACAGTCTGCAAAAAATAATAAGCCGGATCCAATTAGAAGATTAAGCAACAGCGCAATCTGCAACATTAACTGAAATGCCTTAGAATCAGTAAAGATAATTTTAGCCTAGCTTATACTGTCCGTTATACATTAAACGCACTACGTGCATGCGTAAAGTATACAAAAAAAAAGTTTGTGGCTTTGAGGTCCGAATTACAGATCATTCCGGATAATGGACGTCCAAAATACGAATTTTGTACTGTACTTAAGCATTAGCCTTTTGCTCATTTTATTTACAAAATTTTTGCATACCTTTAAATGAAGCTTTTTTTACTATATACTGCTTTTATACATTCATACCATTGATTAGTTTTTGCATACATCTGCAAATGATATACAGTACAAAGTCCGTGATCCAGGCATCCAATATCCGGAATGATCCAAAATCTGGTCTTCAAAGCCACCAATGATCTTTTTTATGTTTTGTTTTTTAAGGGTTTTTGTTTGTTTGTATGCTTTACGCACATATTTGATTTTCCCCACAATAAATTACGTAGAGAATCCCGATTCTTAATTTCACTTTGACACTAAATAAAATACTTTGTTACTAAAGAAACAATCATTTTAGCAGAAATTTCTGTGATCAATTATTTGGCTTTGTAGCTGTCTATCTGCTTGGCATACACCTGAAATTGAAACATTCTACATAGAAACATTGTTGATTTCACACCTACTAATATTTTATATCCCTGACACTAACCTGGCAAATTAATATTTATTATATTTTGCTTTCATGTGGATATTTATCAGCACATGCCAACTTGATTAATGATTCATGCAGCGAAGCATAAATAATTTTTTATATATTAATAACTGAATAACAAAGAGTATGGTGAACTTTTATGTTGGCATTATGCTTAGTGATGATTACAAATTCCAGTTAAATATACTAACAAATATTGATAAGAGAAAATTTCTTTCCATATGGTAAAAATAGATTTTGTTGATGATACTCATAGGCCAAAAAACTACATTTATTGCTATTTGAATAGAATAACTGGTTTGTAATTCACATACATCCAGAATCGACAACAGAGCTCGTATGGCCACACTGAGCAGCAGAATTTAGAGAAGACAAAGTTTTTGTAATTTAGAGGAGCACTGAGCAAGATATTGCAGAATTCATAGAAATTGTGCAATATCTTGCTCAATTTCTAATATTTTTATAACTGTGACAGAGCCATATCGACTATCATAACCAGACTTAGGACAAATCCTTAAAAGGGATGAGGATTTCTGCAGACGGACAGCGTAGTTACACCAACATTTGTCCTCATTGCCCAGATGACATCCCACTGTCTCGCCATCACATCTTCAGCTGCCCAGCAATCCAAGCCAGACTGTTTAACATTGGCATTGAAGACCCAGTGGACCTACTTTATACTGATAGAGCTGCCGAGGTTGCAAAAGCTGTCTTTGACAGCTTCAAAGCTATATAATTGCACTTTGTCATAAACACGACATCATCATCACCGAGCAAGAAAATTAAGGAGTGACAAAATTTTTAGAATTTAGGGAAAATACTGGGACCCAAAATTTAGGGGCAACAAAAATTTAGAACTTGTATTTAAACTGATGATCTAATATCCAGAAAACTCCAAAATCCAGAATTGCCAAAGTCCCAACAAGTCCGGATCTCAGACTTTGTATTGTATATGTATTAATTACACTTTTCACTGACAAAATGCAGTTACAAGCAAAAAAAAATAGCAATAATGATACAGAGAACTGTGTTCATATTTTAAAGTTTTTTAATTCCCACCAAGAATTCTGGTCCATGACATACAGAATATGTTGCATTCCTAAATAATGCATGGCATATGTAATTACCCGGTGGCACAGTGGCTAGCGCAATCGCGCAGCAGCCCCACGGGTCGGCGGTTCAATCCCTTGGGGACTAAACATTGGGAGTCCTGCAGCAAGCTGACCACTTGTTCAGGGCATAAGTTTAAGCACCCCGGAGCACACGGTCAAGAAAGCAGATTTCGGGGCACCGCTGGCCTTGGCCCACTAGGGCTGCTTGCCTATTACGGTTGTTGCACCACCGAATTTTGTTTATGTAATTACAATACATAACTCATAATACCATGGATCTTTGATCATTTTATGGATTTATTTCAGTGAGTTCAAAGGATAAATCTATGGATGCAGGTAAATGATTAAACTAAATATCAATTATATGCTATGAATGAGTAGCATATTGTAAATAAGTAATATTTAAAACTTTTAATATGAATACATCATGTTAAAAATTAACTTTTATTAAAAGATTGACACACTGACCTTTTACTTCTTGGTAAATTTTGCTTCAATTGAAAATATAACTCTTTGAAACTTTAAAGTTTGCTCACAACCTGCACCACTTGTTTTCACTGCATAAAAAATATATGAATCTTTGTATAGCTTCATACACCTAACTGTAGCTCAAAATCCCACTTGTTCCTTTTATCTTTTAACATACTCACTGCTGATTCAAAGTAAAAACTGACAGAGACCTGAAACTTCTAAAAACTAACAGGAATAAACTAATGAAAAATAAAGCAAATACAGTTATTTCAAACTACAAGGAAATAAAATTTTGGAAATTTAAGTTAATGAAGCAAATGGAGAGCTCACAGCTACTTGCAAATCATAATTACATTAATTTCCAGATTTATAATCAAAAAAGAAGGTTAGCTTAAATAAGAAATTGTAATTGATCTTCTCACTCATTTGGTTTGGTTTTGTTGATTATGGCAAAGCACACTACACCTATCTGCCTAAGGGAAGGGATGCCTTTGTGGAGAACTTTCTAAAGAAAACTAGCTTGTCTATACATTACACATGAGAGATAACCATGAAAATGCCCATGCAGCCAGCCAATTCACTTAAAATTGAACCCAGGTCAGAACTACCAGTGTTCAGCAATTTGACCCCTCGGCTGCTGGTGGGCCGATTTTCTCAAATGATCCATGCAAGAAATGTTATGCCAAAAATGTGATCTATACAGATTAAAACAGTAAAACTACATTTTGCAATGATAGATGCAAGAATTAATAATGTTAATGATACAGAACTTCATTTGGAATCAAAAAGAAAGTTATACACGTAGGAAGACAACAGCTGCAAGAATGGTAGATCAAAGTTCCACTGTATACTTTTTGGTACATAATCATTTCAGATTGAGTTTTGTCTATTAAAAAATTATATTTAAAAGATTTAATTGATTACATAACTGTTAAATTAGCATGATATCTTATCACAGTTGTGATGTTATTTTTGGTTATAAAAATTTGAACTCAAAATAACATTGTAATGATATAAGCATTTACAGAGTTAGATGATCCAGTAATCAATTGAACTAAGCCAGATTTTTGCTATTTTATGATTCTCTGAATGAATAAAAATGTTCGATTTGTGTATTAAAAATAATCTTATCTAAATCTGAAATCATTTACAAAAAATCTTTCTAAAGTAGCAAATTCTAAGCACATTGAAATTAGAACTAAGAAATCAAATGCAAAACTTACACGTAATGTTGGTGAATAAAGTAATCCTTCAACCAAAACAAAAAGCAGCCTTGATTCTAATGGTGGCATGTATTTTTCCCAAAGAGGTTTTGCATCATCTGAAAATATAAAATAAAAAGAATAATTTTTTTAATTAAACAAAAAATGGTGTTTCAAATAAAACTCAGAAAAATAAAGGATTAAATATCAGGCAGAAAAACTGACTTTTAAACAACCATATTAGCAATACTGATCATGAGTAAGCATACATGTCCAAAGTAGTTTAAATCAAACAAAAGCTTAAAAATGCCCAAACCTTGCACTAGAACTATAAAATATTGTAATTCTAGAGGAATCACTGACCACCATGGGCAGAAAGATGCTAATTATCATTTTCAATTTGTATGAATTTGTCAAATTATTTATTTTTATTACTTCCTTGTATGAAGTAAAGAAAGAGTTGTAATCTCAAAAATTTTGGGGTATTATATTTCAATGGAAACATCCATTTTGACTGCTCTTTAATCCATCTGGACCCCCCCTTTTTTTTTTGAGATGTCTGTACGTACAGATAATTTAAAATGAATTCAAATTTTTTTTTTTTTTTTTTTTTTTTTTTTGTGATAGCTGTATGTTCACACGTATGTATGTACTTGCATAAATAAAAATGATTAGTTGTAGAACGTTGAAACTTTTTATTATGAGACTGCTATAATATCTAGTTGTGGACGTCCCTTTTTTATTGCGGTCAGCAGTACCAAACGTATGGATATATGTAAGATAAAAAATATGTAAATCAGCTGAATAAGAGGAAGAATTCTGATTACATAGAATGTTAACTCATTAATGACAAGGAAATTTGGCAGTTGAGGCAGATTAAATTTCATTTTTATTTAAAATAACATTTGTGGCCACTATTCGCTTGGCACTCTAATCGTGCCTCTTTCCAGAACATTTACATTTTTGATACTGTTGCGATTAGGATGAGAGCACAGCAAAATAGCGTCCACACAGCACACAGAGAGAAGCAGAGTTATCCAATACGGAAGATTGCCAAAAGGTAGGTTTTTAGGTCAAAAGGTGGGTCAGAAAAGTTTCAGTTCTCGAAATTTTGACTTTATGTTCCAAATCTGCTACATCATAGCCTTATGCAAGCCCTAGAAATGGCACAGTCCAGAAAAGTTACAATTTTTAGAATACCAAGTGGGGAATTATGGGATGACACTGGTCAAAATTTTGATTTTTAACTAGTGGTATCCCATAATTCCCCACTCTGCAGTCTAAAAATTTTGATGATTTTGATTTACCTTTTTTTTATCTTACCTATGCACGGGTTTTAGGTTTATTGTATTTAAGCATTCCATAGCCATCAGCAACTTGTAACGCTGATTTGCACTGTAGAGGACTTGCTCAATTTTATCAAAGTTTGTTTTATTATTGTACTGAATTTTGTTACTTTTCTAGGTTTATTAATTTCTGAATTCCATTTTACACTGTTTTCCAACTAAGAAAATGTGGATTATTTTATAAGTGATAAATAGTTAATTTTAATGCAAATTTCATGAATATAAATTTTGGTTTTATATTGACAACAACAGTTTTTATGAAAAACTTTTAAGCTAAAAACTGCAAAATATTATGGTTATGATATTGAAGCAAAGCTTTTACAGAACTATGAACTTTTTCCAGTTACTTCTCAGGGGAAAGAAAAATAGGACATCTCTCACAGTGTTTTTACAAAAAAATAAACTTGCTGACTTTCAATAGAATTTTCAATTTGCATTTATCGTTAAAAAAGAAATTTACAAGATTTTGTTATTTAAAAAAATTATTTAGATAAAAATTTTACAATTTTGGTCCCCCACAATTGTATTTCTTTTGTTTCACCAATGCTTTCTTCTAAAAAGGCTTTTCTGTAGCCAAGTCTTTTTCTCTTTGAAGAGGGGAATATGTGAGATAAAAAATTATCCGGGTAATTAAATAATTGGTTATTTCGTCTCTTTATTCTAAACAAATTAATAACATTTCTGGACTGTGTCACTTCCAGATCTTCCCTCTTGCATGGCTTGATTCGGAACCTAAACTCAAAATTTTAAGAACTGAAACTTTTCTAACCTAAACCAAAACCTTCCTCTTGGTGAGCTTCCATATTGGATAACTATGCATTTTAGCTTCTCTCTGTGTGCTGCTTGTACACAATTTCACTGCGCTCTCTTCCTATTACAACAGTATCAAAAATGTAAATGTTCTGGGAAGAGGCACAATTAGAGTGTCAAGTGAATTGTAGCCACAAATGTCAACTTAAATAAAATGGAATTTAATCTGCCTCGACTGCCAAGTTTCCTAGCCATTAAGGATTTAACATTCAATGTGATCACAATTCTTACTTTTCAATATGCCATCAGTATTTTCTGCATTTCTACCTCTCAGAGTACTTTGTTTTTATTATACATCTATATAAAAATATAACAACTATATAAAAATATAATAACTCCCTTACCCAGCTTAAAAGTCCTTAACTGGCCTTTATTTTCACAATCATTGGTGGTGGTCATATACTTCCAATTACAGAAGTGTTTTAAATGATGAAAATATTCAGGTTTTGGCAATGTCAAATTTTAAAAAAATTAATTTTCAACAAATAATGAAATCTAATTACATACATAATACAGGGTTCGTACACATTTCTGCACATGGAAATTAAGTACTTTTAAGGACTTTTAAGGACCATTAATGAAAAAAATTAAGGACCTATGTGTAAATGGGAACTGAGTAAATTCAATTAAAAATATATTATCTGTGCCTGAACGTGAATAGGATGCATTATTATTAAACATAACTTAATTAACATAATTATTAATAAGTTTGAGAATAAAATTAATTTTATGAAATTTATCAAGTAGGATTAAATATTTTACACTTATAATAACTGGGCATATTTGAAAGAGAAGATAAGTGACATTTTAGTTACGTTTTACTAACAGTTAGCTTTTTTTTTTAATATCTCATCTTGTCACATACTTGCTCAGTCTAGAGGTTTAGTAAATAGTTAGTACATTTTATGTCAAGCAGCATAGGTTAAAATGAGCATTAAAATCACAATCAGCATGATTCATAACAAAAGACTGGCTGTTGTCACTGCTACTGCTTGCCTACAGAGAAACCTGCTGATCAGAACAAACCTGAAAAGCCTGATGTAAGCACAGCTAAGCAAGTTTTGAAAGTTAGCTGGCCTCTGTCTGACGCTGTTAGTGTCGTAGCTTCGTGTAGAGTTCCAGGGGTTGTAACTCAGTTAATATAATTTAAGGTTAAGCCACTAAAGCATTAGCGGTGATAAGTTGTTTTGCATTAAGTCTCACTAGATGCAAAGAATAAGTTTCACATGAATTTTATATTTTTGTGTTTTACCTTGTGACCACGGTAAAGGTTAACACATTGAGCTCGGCGCTGAATTTGCTGTCCTTTCCATTCAGCCGGCAGCGAGCGATCAAGCGGTGCAATACTGCCGACTTAAATTATTCATAAATTATACAAAAAGGAAGGAGATGCACATAAAGTCCAAAAGTATTGTTCGAAATGTTATGATGACAATTCAAAACTATTTGGATGCAAGATAGCCAAAAATGTTACCAAAATAGTTGTTTCATATTGTAATATGTGTAAAGCTAAGCCGTATTTTTGTTTATAATGTTTCAATAAATTTCATTAAAACTACATTTGATCACATTTCATTGAGACTATAGTTATTTGTTAACTTTAATACTGTCGTCCCGCGGACTGACGCCAGCCAAACTAAAGTTACAGTCCCGGTCCCCAGGGACTGACGCCGGGCTCAGCGTGTTAATGAAAAGGCAATGACTTGCTTTAATATAGAGAGATAATTTTTAAAGGAATGCATTTAGTTATAATTAAATTAGTTATTAGATAACCTTAGTCATTATGGATTTACATGGCCACTATTAAATTAAATTAATTTTTTAATAATATTTGTTAAAAAAAACCCTATTAATACCACAATCTTATAAAATTTCACAGTTTAAAATACATGCAATTTATGACATTGATTTTTTAACAATATTAGGATAATTACACATTTAAAGCTACAAAACATAAAACTCAACAAAACAATTATGTGTCTTTTTAAATTGAAGGCCTGCCCAGACATTTTGGCTAATTTATATCGATTTCCTTCTCCTTAAACATGTTTTCTAACAATTAGAAATTTGCCTCAATATGCAAAACAATGTTCTCATTAGTTTCTGCATGTTCAGTCTCCTAACTGCCAACCTCTTCACAATGTACTACCTATGAGGGTTTACTTGATCCGGTAAAAGTTAAATAGTCCTCCCCACTTCCCCCCGACAGACGTGAAACAAATTATCACTATGTCTGAAAGTAACTATAAATCAGGTAATAAATTTAAATAAAGGTTTAAATAAACTTCTTATTAAAAAAGAACTTGGAACATATAGGCACGTTCTTATGCTAACAAAATAAAATACAGTTTGTGGTGATATAATTAAACAAGAAGAGTGAAATTCAAACTAAAAATATGGACTAGTGGTCAAAAACTATACAATTTAATTTCAATTTAATCTGGTTCAGTAACTCTATTGTCATAATAAACTCATAAACTCAAATGTCAGCAGCAGTAATAGAAAGACTAATAATTACAAATCATCAGAGATGACAGGAACTAATGCAGGGAGCAAGTGGAGTTCAGAAACCCTTGTCTTACAGTCCAAAAAACTCAGTTTAAAAACTGTCTAAGTGATTTGCATTCTGATGAGGAAATAGAAATGGGAAATTATAGTAAAGGCTGAAACCGTAAACAACTGGGTAATTTAAATAATAATAACTACATATATTTGAAGAATAATTTTCCTTCTCTTTACATATTTAGTTTCTTTTTTCAATACGTTTCCTTTTCACTTTAAATTTTTGAGATTTAATTAAAGACTTCTGTTATTCTAAAAGATTAAATGCATTTAGAATGTATGGAAAAAGCTGCTAATTGTATTTCTTTAGTAATACAAACATTCAGAAGAAATATGAAACACATATGGTAAGGTCTGGTCACAGAGCTGGGGTGGCATAATTTTTAGAATTTAGGGACACAAAGAGCAAAAAAATCTAGAAATGGAAAAACTTTTAGAATTTAGAGCAGGCATTGAAAGCAGAATTTAGAAAGGCACCAGGCTTCAGAATTTAGGATCCACAGAGACTGAATCAGGTGGCAAAATGCCTAGCGCCAGCTATGTGTATGATGCATTAAGACATATTAGATGAATCTTTTGAATTGTCAGTTTTCAATTTCTTTATTAATAAAAAAATTCCTTTCTATAATGCCTGTTCATATGATAAGATTAGAAGTACTTTTGATATTTTCCATGCTTGTATCTAGTGAAAAGTAGAGAAAATAAAGGGAAGATAAACATGTTAAGAAAGCGATTTTGGTAATCAGAAATAAAACATTCAACTATTATGTTTTCATTGCTTTTTCCAGATGTTCTCCAAAAACTAAGAAACTTGCGTGTTACTACATGGAGACATTTTTCCTTTTATCACATTTTTTTCTGGAATCTTTTAGAATCATGGGTCTATAAATTTGCCTTCAAATCTTTCTAAACTTTCTAAGCTGCAATGTCTAAAATTCCTAAAGAAAACTTACCCCTACCAATTCTTGTAACAGCAAAAATCCAGAAATGTTTTTAGAAAAAATTGGAGAAAAAAAGTGTGAAATTAATTTTATACAAAAAACTGATGCATATTCTGATCATTCTGAGAAATGAGAAAAATTCTTACCATTAAAAATTTAAAAAACATTTCTAATTAATTACATAGCTATTTTGCTTTTGCTAAAAACTGTTTCATAAACTTCATGCTTTATAGCATTATTCCTTGCTTATTTTTCAGATTCAAAAAATTGTATAATATGTGGCCAAAACGGAACTTTATAATATGACAGTGAAAAACAAAAATGCTTTATTTTAATGTTATTTCTTAAATATAATTCCAATATATTACATTATTTTAATGAAATTTATCAATGTTAGAATGTTCTAAGAAAATCGTCAAAAAATTCCCAGATCTCGGAATTAAAAAATTTCTCTAGAAACCGATCTTAAAATCGCCAAAATGTTGATAATCAGCAAGTTTAGAACCATTTAATAAAAGAATTCACATCCCCAAAAGCGGAAAGTTGTTTGAGAGCTCTTTATTACAAAAAATGAAATAATTTCGAAATGCTTATGTTTCACTTCTTGCTCAGAAACTCGAGTATCCCACCATTATTTATATTACAAATAGGAACAAATTATAACTTGTGAACCCATTAAAAAAATAGCCATATTTGTCAGTAAATCGCCAAAAATATTCCTGCAAAATGCTAATTCACACCCAAAATGGCAGTCGTAAAAACAAACAGAAATTTCAGATGATTAAAATTAAGGACCTTCTGCCAATTTTGGCCAAAATTAAGGACTTTTAAGGACCAAAAATCAATTCCAAAAAACTTAAGGACTCTTAAGGACCATATGAACCCTGATAATAGCAGTTTATATATGTAGTCAGTTTAACAATAAACATCTAACAATATTTAATATCAGTTTCTTGTTGCTCTAAAAAGAATATTTAATAGGCTGTACAAAGAAGTCATGTAGTGTCCAGGCCAGATTTGTTTTTATTTTAAGAGTAGGCTCCCAAATCTAACTTCTAGACATACTACTATGCCTACCTGATGTGCAGATATATTTCTCCCTCAATTTAAATAATATGTTAATTACTAACTTAAGTAACAATTTTAATATTATGTTAATTCCTTACTCTTGAAGTAAGGAGATACAAATTATTTAAACATATTTTGACTAGTTAAATTATAATAATTTTTAAATAAAATATAGTTATAGAGGGTTCCCTCCCAATACACAGGTAGATTTTGCTCAACATGACTAAATTAAAAAGAAGATTAAGCAAATATTAGGCATATAACATTCAGATGCTGCTTTAAAAAATGACATATTACACAAAAGTTGCTTATAGAATAAAATAAAAATTAGATTAATGCATCTACAAATATAATACAACTAAAATGGTTAAAACACATTTCTTTTAATTTTTTTTAATACTCAATACCACTCACTATTTTATTTCTTTCTACAGCCTTTCTGTGTATTTTTTAAAAATTTATTTTTATTATTATTATTATTGTTGTTATTATTATTAAGGTATAATAAATAGATTTATATTATAAATTCATTTGATGAAAAATTGCACAGATTTATTTTGATACTTTAAAAATATTCTTTGCGGTTACTACATTACAAACCATATTGGGATACGCAGTTCGCATTTTAGATATTCTGTACATGTAAAGAGAGCAAATAATAGAAGCTTTAACGTATCACTATTTATGTTCTCTTGGATTTTAAAACAGTGAAGTTTTCTAAAATATTCATAATAATAACTTTTCGGCTAAATTTAATTATAATACCAATAATACTTTCAGTACAATGCCTTTTAAAAATGAAAAACAGACTTCAAAAGTTTTAAGTAGATTAAAAGCGAAATTTAGAGAATACTTTACAGATCCAAACATATATACAGAGAGGATCAGAACAGTACGTTGCCAAATTGCTTTAAGATTCTTTTCATTATCTTCAATGTGTCACACATCGGAGTAGTACAGCAATTATAAAAATAGGTATGTCAGAAATAAAGGTAGATAAATTTATTGCCTAAATGACAAATACCAAAATTTTTAGAAATCGTTAGAAGGTGCAATATTCTTAACAGATATTTTGTTTTCTTTAGCATTACTACCAAGAGATGAGGGGGAACGAAATTTGATGCAGACCTAATATAAACCTCTTTTAGATCTTAAATCTAATTATTTTTCCACCATGAAGATACAATTAAATTTTATACAAATATTTAAACTCTTTTTTAAGCAGTAGGCTATAAAATGTAAACAGAAAGGCACAACTTCAGTTAAGCTTTCCCCCCCAACAATAAACTAAAAAAAATTCTGTGAAATTAAAACTAGTATGAACATTTCATATTAAGAAAGTTAAAAATCAGGAAAAAATGCAGAATCCATATGAAAGCTTTTTATAAACAAAATATAGATTTGGCCATAAAAAATGATATCAAGAACACAAATATTCACTAAATAATGGGGATTTAAAACAGGCCAAAATTGTATAGAAAATAAACAATGTTTTAATGACTAAAATAGAGACTTCAGATTTGTGCATTACACATGCATAAAAATTAATGTACACTTGTTCCACATATAAGAATCACACAACATGTTTATGACTCATTAATTTCACTTCAAGCTACAACAATACTTGATGGCAATTCTGTTTTATGATTCCCAATAATGATGCATGATTAGACTAATATGATACATTTTAGCTTAAAAAAAGAAATAATTTGACATGAGAGCAGCACAAATAAATTAAGTAAAAGCTCTAAGATGCTGGAAAGTACATAAGGCACAGTATAAGCCTTGATTTGTTCGAAAATGGAGACTGTAGCTTTTGAAAGTAATTCAAACTCCATTTCAAAGGATGTAAAATATACAACATGTGATCAAAAATACCTAGACACTTCCAGGAAGTAGATTTGCCCATTCATATAACACTGTAACTGAATGCTAACATAGATATAAAAGGAAGTAGTCAAGACATTACAACACACCTTAAATTGCAAAACTGATAGGATATGTTAGTTCAATGAATTTTGAAGAGAAGAAGTGACTAGTTTTTTCACTGTGGAAATTTTGTTCATGAAATTTTGGCAATGTGAAGGGGTGGTGCATTCAATTGTGAATGATATCACTATTTGTAGTGCTTCAGAAGCAGCTTCAGAAATTATACCTGTTCAACAAACATCAAGCTGACTACACATTCACAAAACAGAAAAACAAAATTGCACAGAATCAGCCAAAAACATCTGCAAAAAATTCCAGAGTGCTTCTGAATGCAGCATGAGCACAATGCTACTTCCCAAAGAGCTGCAAAATTTAGGTTTTGCAGGAAAACAGGTACACGCAAATCAAATTAGCACAGCTAATGCCAGTCAATACTAGCAAAATATAAAATATGACATAACTGGAGCTTGGTATAATGGCAACATGTTAAGTGAAAACAAATCCTTTGTCTGAAGATCCAATAGTAGTGTTCAAGCGCAGAGCAGAACTTACAAGAATGCATCATTCCTCAAGCCAAGTTTGTTGAAAGAAAGATTATGGCATGGTCTTGTTTCTTGTGATTAGGTCCCCTGCTTCTTATAAAAGGAAATATGAATGCTAAAGTGTATCTTAATTTTTTAGACAATTCAGCACTCCTAAACTGTGACAACACTTTGATGCAGGATCCTTCCTCTTTCAGCAATTTTAAAGTCAACCTACCACAGTATATGCTATGAAAAATAATATGGTTTTCTGATATGGACGTTGTGAAAATAAGTTAATCAAAGCTCTAGTTCTGATCATAGAGAATATCTAAGAGATGAATTGGAATGCTGTTTTCAAGCCAGGCACTCAATAAAACTGCTGAAAGAAATGACTAACTATTCTTCCGAAAACAGGAAACTATTCCACAACCAGCATACCAAAATCTAGTATACAACATTTCTAAGAGAACGGCCACTGTTTATGCAACCAAAATAATCTATGCTATTCTTGCAATACAAGCACATATTTTATAGCTCTAATATTCAAGCATTCAGTTACTTCTGATCACGTGTTTACAGAATTCATGATAAATTTTAAATAGGCTTGAAAATATTTACTTACTTAAGAGTTGATAATAAGGTGGATTCTGTATATGTTTTGGTACAGGCAACGGAGCATGTAGTAGTTGATAACGTAAATCAAAAAGGCTGTTAAAAAGAGATGCAATTTTGGGAGTTAAACATGAATTGCATAGCACTAATAATACTTTATAAACAAAAAAATTTTCACATAATTAATTTAAAATAAAACAAATATTTTTATTGTTTACCTTATTGGACCAAGTTGGCCTACAACATAACCCAGAATCTTCTGCATTATACAGCGTTCTAACAGATTAGGTGATAAAAGTAACGTACAAGGGGAATCAAATCTGTTAAAATGATTTAATCTAGGAAAGTCAGAGGAGAAACTTTCAGTTTCTTCTTCCTGCAGTAGACAGAACTTGCATATGAATCTTATTTAATATTCACTCACCATTAGCATTAAGAAAAGGGCTTCAAATTTGTTTATAAAACTTACCGTTTTCAAAAGCAATGTTTCCACCAAAATACCATGTATCCATGCTATATTAGTTACATTAACAAAAAACGCAAGCTTTTCTTGTCTGCTTTGCAATAAATCCAAGTTGACAAATGCTAATTCAGAACAATCTTTCATCCAACCCAATAATTCTGAATGTTCAATTAGAGATAATAACTCGGTTTTGTCAAAAATGCCACTGGAATCATTTGCCATTGCTGTATCTAAAAGAAATAGAAGTGCCAGTTTGATTTGGATAATGTCTCAGTGTTCATACAATGCCATTCATATATGAAATTAAAATTCAATCATCAAAATGATATGAAATTTTATAGAGGTAGACAAGATTAAAACAATTTATGTAAAAATAACATACTGAACTTTTGATTGCTTGTGCCAAGTAATGCACAAATACAATCAGACAATCAGAAAACATGGATAATTCAGGAAGTTTACAGAGCCCCCCAAAAAACCTTCAAAAATTGTAAAAAAATAAAATAGACTATACTAATAACATAAGAAAATTATGACAATTATAACAAAAACATGCAGTAATGGACACAAACTTTGTTATAATTAAACTTGGAATTTTTCTTCAGAAAAATGTCTTTTTCTAAAACCATGTGGACAATATTTCAAATCACTGAATTTGTGCAGTGTGGTGATATCATTAAACTTCAATTCTGCTTGTCTACAGACATTTAGCATACTACTGTGACTTGCTATTTCAATTTCATGTTTACTTTTTTCCTTTGAATTGTCCTACTGGCTTTTCTTGGGTGATTATATCCATAATATCTTAGTCAGATAAAATTTCACAAAATTTATTACCCTGATTTTTCTGCAGCTACTTTGCAATATTTTCTCAAGTTCTGAAAACCTTGAGCAACAGAAAATATTTTAAGACCCGAGTTATAATATCTTTATTCGTAAAATTTTCTTCTTTTAGAACATTAGAAATAAATTTTTATCCACATTAAAATGATATTAATATTTTAACTGAACTTCAAATCTTTCAAGAAATTCTGCAAACTAAAAATCATATCCCTGTCCATTAAAAAAGGTGCATTTGAGAAAAATAAAAATCATATTTTTGTTTTTCTCAAATGCACTTTTTTTTTTAATAATCTGCAGATAATCTACATATGCTTAATAGAGAGTTCAATGTATTTCCAAAATTCAAACAACCTTTTAATTTAATTTTCATCAGAAATAAACGAAATAATGGTAATACAGTAAGAAAATATACAAACATCTAAAAAAAATATAATATAGTGTTAATGGTACTACTTTAACAAAACATGGTGATGAATTCAGTTCTCATGAGAATAATTTTATAAAGTACTAAAAGGTGGACTGTAGCCAATTTTATTTAGTGGTTGCATAATGAATTTGACTGGACAAAAATTTGTTTTATAAGTTTAAGAAATAGTCATTTAACCATCAATCCAACTGCGAGTTGTTCTTCAAGGAATCCAAACTGCTTTCTGAAAATACCAGTTTCCCTCCACTATCACAAAAAGATGATCTTATTCAAACGTAAATCTCATCCCAACAATTTCCAATCCCCAAAGTCATGTAAATACTTTTTACCCTATTTTAATTACAGAACCACATACATACATTATATTACATTACATAACCACATAGTTTATATTTTATAAAAATTCATTTTTATAATTCCTTTTATATACATATGCTAGTATATATTAACTAATTTGAACCCTTTTAGAAACAGAAATCATTTACATGATCAAATACATGACAATCCTAGACAAGCTTAATGTCTAAATTCCTTATGTGCAGTAAAAGTTTGACTATCCAGAATACTCAAAAAATGGCAAACTCCGGATAAGTGAATTTTCAGATAATTGAGTGTATAAAAAATGCACTTCACAGTAGAAAAACGACATGAAATGAAGAAAGAAATTTCTACAATAGTATAAAAATAACAATTTTCTTTGTTATTAGCTTTAGTATCAAAAGCCAACATTTCAAATTACATAAAATTTTTGTAAGTAAAATATGACACATTTTGCCAGGCTTCAACATAAGAAATTAAATCACCTTATCTAATTATAAAATGTCGTCAATCATGAAAGCTGGTGAAAAGAGTCACCAAACACGCACCATTTATTCTGGTAGAAGCTTTAAATGTATATATATATATATATATATGTTATGTACATACATATATATATATATTAAATATATAATTGAAACAGAAATTGAAAAGCTAACAAGTAACAAGACGTAAGACCTATTTGGTCTTAAAAATTTTTTTGCGCAAAATGCTGCAAAAATATGAAATAATATGAATAACAGCAAGCTCGCTGCAATATTTCTACCTATTATTATATATATATATATCACGGAAATATTTGGCCTAACTAGAATTGCCGGTTTGGCTTTACCTTATAACTCGAATAAAGACGAAACACCTTCGTATTTACGTATTTTTATTGATTATTGTTCATTGAACGGGAGTTGGTTTGTTCCCCTTGAAAAGTCAACTAATTTCCGATCAATGACAATGATTACATGTTTTTAATTTTTCTTTTTACAATTGAAATTTTGTTCTTCATGATGATTTAATTCCAGTCCCCATTAAAACATTATTAACATTTTACTTTTAAGTTACTTCAAAACATCTTTCAAAATATAACTTTTCAGTATGGATTCACTCTTTTAAAATAATTCTACTTTAATTAAACTTAGGAGATAATATAATCAATTAATCAATATTGTTTAGGAAATAAATTATTATTAACTAACTTTGCAGCAATTGCGCAAGTAGTAGTAACTTGTTTTTGCACTAAATGAATTTAAGATCATACAACATTATATATATATATACCAGGATCTCTGAAAATACTCCTTGAAAAAATGATCCCCAATAGTAACCATTTTCAAACTGCACAGGGGAAACAGATAAATGACAATTAACTTATATTCTCTTTACAAAAACTAAACTGGCTTATTGAGAATTAGTCCAATTTACATAAAATTAAGAAGATCTTACAATTGCATTGTGGCATTACACTTTTACATTTTTGGTGCTAAGTCACATTATTTGGTGACAATTTTGTTGGTCGAAAATAGTCGACAGGAAAGTATGTACAGTCAAAAGTCGTTAATCCGGACTCGTCGGGACTTTGGCAATTTTGGATTATTGATTTTTCCAGATTATAGATCATCAGTTTAAATCTGGTAAGATGGCATGGAGAAATTACAAAATTTAAAATATGAAACCGTAATTTATGAAATAAAGAACAATTATGATCTAAAGGGTATCAAAATTTACAAAAAAAAAGCTTAATATTTATTTTACTTTATTAAACATTTCTTTCAATTAAGTTGTTTCGTTTTTTATGTGCTAATACATTCTCTTTAATTCTATAAACAGACATAATTTCTTCTTCAGTTACAAGTTCCGCTGTTCAAGTCCTATAATTGCTGTGTCGAGAATACCGACTAATTTGTCAATCGAAATTTTTTCGTTTTCAATAACATCTGTGTCACTTTCTTCACTATCAGAAGCGAATTATAATGACGAGGAATTTGATTTAAATCATATAAAAGACGGAGTACGTCGAGATGAAATACTACATTTAGTAGGGAATTATAAGCCAACTACATTTAGTAGGGAATTATAAGCCAAATAAAATAAAAACATCTGCTTTGAAGATAAGGATAGTGCTGACAGATCAACTTCCAGTTCATTGCGCGTCACGATGCCCCCCTCCCCTGCCGCAGAGCAGTGTGAAATTGATAAACAGATTTCAGAATGGTTAAATAAACACAGGATATGCCTTTATCCATTTTTTGCAGCAATTCCACTGTTTGTTTAATGGACTTTGAAACATACTTTCGCTTTGTAGATCCATTACCTATTAGTAAATATATATCGGAAATTCTATTTGACATAATCGAAAGTTCAAGCTTACTTTTATAAAATTGCTCTAACAGTCTGCAAAAAATAATAAGCCGGATCCAATTCGAAGATTAAGGAACAACGCAATCTGCAACATTATCTGAATTAGATAATTCTTACCCTATACCGTCCGTTATATATTTAACGCGCATTCGTAAACATATTTTGCGTATGTGCACACGCATATTCGCAGACGTAAAGGTCTTACACGCATGCGTCAGTGCGGCGCATGTGCAGAAAATTTGTAGCTTTGAGGTAGGGATTATAGATCATTCCGGATTACGGGTGTCCGAATTAACGACTTTTGACTGTAATACCAATTTTTTTAAATAATTGCGAGACTTTTATCCAACATGTAATTAATAGAACTGATACAGACTATTACTCTAAGATTGTTTCAAGATGTGCTTTTTGATGGTCTTCCATCAGCTTAATTTTTTGAAAATGATGTTTAGAAAAAAAAAAACTATAAAAATTTTCCAGCTATTTGAATGCCAGAAAGTCAGAATTTTCTGTACATCTAAGTAAGCTTAATTATATCAAATATTTTTTATACATTATACAAATTAACAAAACATGTTCAACCTAACTCTTATGACATGCTTAATTTTAACCTAAAATATTTTAGTCAAAATAAACAGGAATTAATTTTCACAGAAATTTTAGAAGTACCATTTTCAAGGTACTTACTTCCAAAAAGGCCCAATGGAGCCCATAACAAGATTACTGCATCTTAATGCAGTAAAACTAAACTAAACTAAAAATATTTGGCAAAAAAAGTTATAAGGATTTAGGTTCAGTGAAGTAACTATGCTGAAGTACTCAGTGATAATCCAACAAATAATTTATACCTGATGAAGTTTGTTTAAATAATAATAATTTGAAACAGACAAAGGAGTATATGCAAGAAAATTATTTCAATGAAGCAACAAAATTTAAAAGAAAAAGTGAAAATATGCCATTAGTTAAAAGAAATGAATACTGAGAGTCATCTAAAGAACATCCAACGAGGCTTGTAGAAGCTATTTTAATATAAACCAAAAATCACTTTGCTCAACATTATATTTCAAGAACATTAAATATCTTATATACGACAATGTGAGTGCAAATAATATAAATAATTGGAAATTGCATTGTAATGGTTAAAAAGCATTAATAATCATGTGATTATGCTAATTATGCATTATATTTATGCTAAAAAACTACCTTGTATCATGGCTAAAAGATCTCTCATTAATTCTCGGGCAACAAGATCTGGATGCCTTGGAGATGGCCAGTCAGGCTTTAACATATTTAAAACTAGCAATGGATAACCTGTTTATGAAAAAAAAGAAGTTAAGTATATTCAAACAATACACAATAAAAATTATTGGTAAATTCAACCAATGAAAATTAATTTGATAGGAATTGAAGTATTCATCAGGTAAAGAAAGATCAAAAGAAATTAGATACAGCATTTTAATTAAAAATTTACATTTATTATAAAAACTAAAAAAACAATATAATTGTGTTTTTTAAATCAATGTTATACACATATACGCAGTGTCTCACAAAAATGATAAAAAATTAATTTACTATTTCTAAAATTTATGCAAAACTTTTAAATGTATTAAACTGAAACTGTAAAACAAGGTTATATGATGGTGCCTTGGTTAATGACGGCCGTAGTTAATGACAAGTTGCTGTTAAAAAAAAATGCCTTGGATAACAACAGAGGATTGGTTTACAATGCATTGTGGATTGGTGGCGGATTTCGATGAAACATGAAGGAAATATCCTATTAGTTTTTGAGAAAACTGCATTTATATTTTGCAAAATATTCATACCTATATCTTTTATAATTTCTTAACATACAATTTATATTAAATAGTATAAATTATCCATTTTTTAACACCAATGATATAATCTGTTTAAAATGGGTTGATTGCATTACATTTGAAATGCATATCACAAATATTGGTCCGCTCTGAATTTCTTTCAATTCATGCGGAACCCAAATATCGAGCTTCTTAAGGAGTCCACGATATCTTATGTGATTTTTAATTATCAAGTGTGGTACAATTAACCATTTTGCAATCTCTTGCAATGTTATATCAAGATTCAATTCAATTATGACTTTAACTTTGTCATCATCAACTGCAGAAGGTTGGCTAGAATGCTGGTCATCTTCAAGTGAAAAATTTCCAGAATGAAATATATTAAACCAGTTTTGACACATCTGTTAAACCACGGGTCTCCAAACTTTTTGGCTCATGAGCCATTTTGGTTCTTTCAGGAAACTTTGTGGGCCAAGATCCAATTAATTCATTATATCACACATTTATAAATGAGGCAGTGAGATTTTTGTTGATTGCATCTAGTATACGCTATGATATTATGAAGAGCTTTGTTTTTTAGACTTTCATGCAGTTTCTCTGAACATAAAGTCCTTAAAACTACATTTAAGTATTTGAAAAAAAATTGTCCTAGAAGGGCTTAGTATATACTTTATGTTTAGTAAGTGCTCCAATGCATTTACCTTCCCGTTGTCATGATTTATCAGCACATTTTGCTTACATTTTGATCAGGTGCAAACTTTTGCTCTTCACATCTTGGGCAATTTTTGTGTGGAAAAAAAATCTCCAATATTTAAATAAGTTACAACACATACAGAACAAAGATTAAATTAAGAAATAAATTCAAAGTGATTTATATAAAATCATTACTCAAAATTTCCATGAACCAACCTAGAAAACTACTATGAAAAGAGAAAAGATAACACATGAAACCATCTTTATTCTCGTAAAATGTACTATGAGAATTTTTTTACTTTCTCTTATGACATAAATGAATGATTGTAAATGCAAAAAATTCTGGATACCATCTTCCAACAAAACTATCTATTTTGAACTCTCTCAACTCAAATCCATTCGAACGACTTTTTTTTTTTTTTTTTTTTTTTCATCTGTATGTACGGAAAATGTTATGACTTTTCTGTTGAATTTTATGTTATGCAAGAATAAATGGCCTTTTTTTCCAATAAGTACATATATATGTAATTCACATAACTCAAAAATGAGTAGCTTCAAAAAGTTTAAATTTTATATATGGGACTGCTATAAAATATAGTTATGCACCTCTCTTTTTGGTTGCAATTGGGTGTGTTCCCCTTGAAAAGTCAACCAATTTCCGATCAATAGCGATAATTACTTATTTTTTAAATTTTTAATTTCGTTTTCAAAGTTTGAAATTTTGTTATTCATTATTTAAATTCAAGTTCCAGTAAAACGTTTTTTTCATGGTTTACATTCAAGTTACTTTAAAACACAATTTTCAAAATTAAACTTCCTACATATGGGGTTCCCTCTTTTTTTATACTTCTACTAAATTTATAATTGGAGATAATATAAACATACATACCCACTCTGTTACCCGACTTGCTGAGCTCAGTTTTTTTTATTCTTATATGTTGGTAAATTGTTCATTTTTTGGTCTTAAATTCCAGTTAAGATTTATACGACTTTAGTTAATCTGCATGTAACAGTTACAGAATTATCAAGAATGTAAAAGTTGTTAAGTGCTACTAAGCCTAACGAAGCAGCCATTTGTTCACATTTTAAACTCTTGTTTCGTTTGAAGATGTTTTGTGTTTTTATGTATTTGTACCTCACCGCGAAGTGAGAACTGAATTGATACCTCTGATGAAATTCAAGGAAATAAATTTAAATGAAGTGTGACAAAATGTGTGTGTAATTCAATAGGACATATGAGGAAGTTATGTGTGTCCACATACGATTTATTATACAGAGTGTTACTGTATTTCACTCATTATAAATTTAGAAATGGTTGCATAATGTTTATAATGTGTTAGATTGGCTGTTATATAAAATAGTTAATGTGTATGTTACTTGTTACTTTAAATTTTACAAAATAATTTTAAAGAAATCGCTGGCGGGTTGGATCGTTAGTGCTCTCGGGCCAGATTCGGCCCTTCAGCCGTAGTTTGGAGACCTCTGTATTAAGCAATCAACACCATAAACTTTACATACCTCTTTGTGAGCCTCAACTACTTTTTTGCCTTTATGAAAATAAAAAGTAAAATATGTCAAAAACATTTAGACACAGAGAGGCAGCTAGTGCAGATAAAGTAGTAACAGATAAATTTGTTAGTGAATTTACAAGAATTACAGAAGAAAGAAAGTCGTCAATTGACAAAGTTATTAGCCCCTTTCACATGCAACACTCCTTCGCACAGCTGCTTAGCAAGAGGGGGGAAAGGAATGCAAAGTAATTTCATCTTCCTTTCCTTTACCTAAAGTCCACTGCGAGTAATGATGCCACGAATGTGATTCGAATTGGCTGATTTCTAATGCTGTTTTAACATTGGTTACAGTTGCTATAGACGTTACCAAAATTTCCTTAATGGTTTCTGAAAACGTTATGCTTCATTATTATTTAATTAGCTCACATATGGTGTTTTTCACTATGGTTAAAAGTTTGTTATCGATTTTTAAACTGCTTTCTGATAGAGTATTGGGTTAAAACTTTGTACATAAGCTGATTGTGAATGGGAAGTAGAGGAAAAAAAAAGTTGAAGAATTACTGAAACAGCATGACTTTAAAAAAATACAGAGAAATAATATAAATTTTACATATCTTAAGACTTCAAACCAAAAATTAATTGCTTAAGTGTTTTTTGTAGCTTTGATCAAAATAATGCCAAAAATTTATACAATGTATTTATTACAGATAATTTTAACACATAATTTTTCCTTTTGGAAAAAAAAAATTGGTTACCATAAAAAGAAGAGCAGGTAAATGTATATCTCAAAGGAAACTATGATTTACAGTTTGAATATAAAGTGCTTAAAATTTGTTTACATCATTTTCAGAAATTAAAAGCATTTATCAACTTTGGGAGGCGATGTGTTTGCCTATGCATATATATAGAGAGAGAGACAGAGAGACAAAAAGTAAGAAATTTAGAACCAATTTTACTTAAAGACCCCCAAAAGTTAAATTCAATATCAATTTTAAATAAAACATTTTGTGAAACTGCACATATATATAAATTAAATAAATAATTATTATTAATAGCCTAATAGATATTCACTTTGGAGCAAGAACCTGGCAAAAAATGTAATAAACCACTGAAAAATATAACATTTCCAGCATTTTATATCATCAGTTGCAAATACAAAAAATATAAATATAAGTTTTTAAAGTTAAGTCATAAATGGAATTTACATCTCTTGGTACATGATCTTTCTCTTGGGGAAAATAAATTTTTATCAAGCTATTATTAGTTCTGTGTGCATTCAATCCATTACAAACCAGTTTGTACTCACCATTTTATACACTTCATGTTTATGTCAGTGTAAAACATAGCTGCCTTCTAATTAATTGTCTGGATCCTAATGTGTATACCACACATTAAGTTATTGCATGCATGCATTTTTTAAGAAAAACAATATTCTATTTTTGAGTCCAACATTTAAAAAAAGTACAGATATTGGTGAAGTTGTAAGAACATGAAGTTGGTCATTACATGTTATTATGCTTGATTAGCTATATCTTTGTTTTAATTTTATTGCCAACCAGAATACCAAGGAATTAAGAATTGAGTAATTATATAAAATTTGTAATGAATAATTTTTGTGGTTAAAATTTTATTTCTATAATTAAAGAAACACCAAATTGTAAATTATATAATATATACAAAACAAATGAATAATCTCTCGAAGATGATGTACCATGAGATGTAAATTCCATTTATGACTTTTATTTTTTGTACTTATGTAACTGATGATTTAAAATGCTGGATATGTTTTATATTTTTTCAGTGGTTATTGCATTTTGCCAGCTTTATGCTCCTTCTTATTTATTTAATTTATCTATATCTCTCTGTGTGTGCATGTATATATATATATATATATATATATGAAATGTAGGATCTCGTACATTATTAAGCTACCACGTTTCATCTTTTATCTAAATGAGTTTTGTTAAAGTACTCAAGCCATGAATTTATATCCATATCATTTTGCGCATCAAAGGGAATTACACTTGTTTCAGGTTCAGTGCTAGCTGCCCTTAATGAATCGTCTGTATCAGAGATATTTTCTTTAGCCATTATTCTCTTAATAATACTTTCATAAATAAAACTAAATCAAAAAAATACTCTTAAAATTTTTCCAAAACAATATTAAAACCAAAATATATCCTTTAAATACCAAATTTAAAATACATTTATACCAAAATAATACTTTTTAAAATTTTCAAAATAAAACAATTATTAAATCAGTAATTATAATTCAATAGTAATAATATCATTTGCATCGCCAACCTTTTTACTAATTGCTTCTGTTTGACTTATTGTGGCGAGAAAGATTTGATTAGATTTCCATAAAAAACAATCAATCACCACACAAGCACACAGCTCTTGAGAGCAACACTGAACGGCGCAGACGTAGGGGAAGACTCCCAGCCTCAAAAGTAGGTCAACGGTAAGAGCACATTTGATGAACGACGAACTTTCAATGTAGACACAGATCACACATCACAGGGGGCAGAAGTATGATTCTCTGGATGTAAAAAAATCTGCAGAATACCACAACATACAGGCAACAGAAGGATGATTCCCTTGAAGCGAGAAAGCCTAGACAAAAATGTAGGAACACAGAAGTCGCACACCAGCAAATTCATCTAAAGTGCGTAACGTTTTATCCGTATAATCCTTGGAGTATCTTCTTTTTTAGATAATCCCTTTGAAGGTGGCATCCTGCCAGCTTTCTGAAATGTATTTTCTCATACATTATTTGTGTTGTGCAGCCGGGGCAACAGGAATGAGACAAATTTTGGAATATAAAGTGATACTTTTATTTTAACATCCATTTCACAAGCATTCCTTCCTGTAACTGGAGGAGAAGCCCTATTTATAGATATGTGTGCATCATCGGGCTCATACAATCAGTGATATTAATTGAAATCATGAGGTGATGCTATCCTCTCATCAAGAGTGTTCTTAAGGACTTGTAATATGACAGATTTATGAATTTGGCGATTTGGCGGGCGCCAACAGGTTAATATAATTTATAATAAAGAAAGGATTTCGCCAAAATTTAGGAACAGGGATGCAATTTAGGTAGAGAATCGCCAACGCATTATTAAGGGATATGATTAGAATTTAATCAATTGATTTAAAAATATCATTACATATATATATATGTGTGTGTATGTATTTAACAAACATTCTGTATTCGTTAAAAGCAATATATATAAAATGCACGAGATAGCTATAACTTAATGTGTGGTATATAAATTAGTAAGCAGATAATTAATTAGAAGACTGCTTATACTTTTACATTGGTATAAGCTTAAAGCATATGAAACACTGTTGTATCCGAATGGGTTCATAATGGATTGAATGCACACAGAACTGATGATGTCTTGATAAAATTTATCCCCCCCCCTAAAAAAACATTTTACAGGAAGAAACTTATGAAGCTTTCCACCAAGGTACTCACACAGGTCTTCTCAGTATAACGGAGCACAATCAGTAGTTACTACTTCAAACTACTGATAACATTAAACACAACACAATGCAAAGTGAATCCAAAGAGCAAAGCTCGCACAATCTATGAGTACTCCAAAGTAAAATCTGAACTGAGAACTGATGCTCTCGCCAATTTTATATAGTTTTCCTCTGGGTGCTAGGACATCTCTAGTAATGTCCATTTCTCAAAATTACTGGGAGGCATATACGGTTAAAGTTACATGATAAGGGCCAGATACGGTTACAGCTACCTATAGGGATCAATTACAGTTATACAATTGCATTACTAATTATAATTATGGAGGGACCGGACCAAAATATTCCCAAATTGTCACCATGTTCAGTAACTTTTGATGATTTCATGCCAAATTTGGCAATAAAAACTAGTCTCCTTAACCATCGCCAATTTAGCGAGACAGCCATTTATTTACCTCAGCATTAAATAGACTTAATCTTATTTTTCCAGAACTTAATCTTATTTCCCCATTATCTTATTTTTCCAGAACAGCTTCGCTCTCTTCAGAATTTTTTGTGTTATATTATACAAAAGATACTACAATTTCACATATAATTTCACTAAAATTATTTACACATATATAAACAACACACATGCACAAACATTATTTACAATCACATTATTTACACATATACAAAATTTGTAACACTATAAAGAAATTGGAAAACTTCATTCATTTAAAAATATAAACACATATCAAATCATGAAGCAGGCCATATGCTCTGTTTATGAAGTTGGTCATTACATGTTTAATAAAATGAAAAATTGCACAGTTTTTTTTTTTTTTAATATCAGATATGTATCAGGTGTATTTAGATCAGAAAAAGCTTTACAGAATTAAATCATACTCACAGAAGTCAGAAATGAAACTTACCACTCTCAGTACTATAGCTTGCATATTCTAATAATATGTCATAGGATATATTTTTATTTATTAGTGGAACATGAGGCAGACAAGCTTGTGCAAGAACATGAACAAGGTCTACTTTCATACGAACTGCAAATGATTCAATTCTGTAAAATAAACAAATATGAAAATAAATATGTTGCCTATTATTATTCAACTCACTTTAACATGTAACACTGTTAGGATTTTGATGATGCTACCACTGTTTAGTAATCAGTGTTAACGATATGTCTTAAATTTCTGAGCTTTTATGAAGTAAATCACAAAAATAAACATGAGCTATCTATAAAAGTGTCTTTAAAGATTTTTACCTCAAGAAAGAACTGCTTTTACATAGTTTCAGGGAGAAAACAATAATAAAATTGTTGTCTAGTTATTTTAATACAGTCAAAAGTCGTTAATTCGGACACCCATAATCCGGACCTCAAAGCTAAAACTTTCTGCGCATGCGCCGCGTTGACACATGCGCATAGGCGTTTACGCGTGCACATAAGACCTTTTACCACTGCGCATATGCATGTGCGCAAGCGCAGAATACGTTTTCGCGTGCGCGTTTTATGTATAACGGACGGCATAATCTAAAATTATCTAATTATCTATTTCAGTTAATGTTGATGATTGCGCTGTTCCTTAATCTTCGAATTGGATCCGGATTATTATTTTTTGCAGACTGTAAGAGCAATTTTATAAAAATAAACTTGAACTTTCGATTATGTCAAATAGAATTTCCGATTCTGGAGCTCCCAAAGGATCGTACAAAACGAAAGTATGTTTCTATGTCCATCAAACAAAAAGTGGAATTGCTGCAAAAAATGGATAAAGACATGAAGAATGTGACAGAGAGGTTAGTGAAACCGAAAAAATTTCGATTGACAAGTTAGTCGGTATTCTCGGCACAACAATTAACGGGACTTGGACAGCAGCGGAACTTTGTAACTGAACAAGAAATTGTGTCTGTTTATAGAATTAAAGAGAAAGTATTATCACATAAAACGAAACAACTTACATTGAAAGAAATGTTTAATAAAGTAAACAAATAAATATTAAGTTTTTTTTTTTTTTTTTTTTTTTGTAAATTTTGATACCTTTTAGCTTATAATTGCTCTTCATTTCATAAATTAAGGTTTCATATTTTTAATTTTAGAATTTCTGCATGCCATCTTACGAGATTTAAACTGATGATCTATAATCCGGAAAAATCGATAATCCGGAATCGCCGAAGTCCCGACGAGTCCGGATTAATGACTTATGACTGTATAGGATCACCACTTAATAATCTCTGAATTTGGTTAAGACATCAGTTAATAAATAAGTATCACAACTATTACAGATTTACTTTAAAATAACTAATGCAAGATCAGACTAAATTCAATTGATTTTATAATAATATACATCAAATTAAATTTTTAACCTATTGGTAATATCACTATTAAACTTAGAGTTAATGCATTCAATTACTTCTTTCCCAGAAAGAGGGGAAGATATTGTTAAAATTTAAAAGTAGAATACTAAAAAGTTTAAACTATCCTACTCTTAGAACATATTTTTTTCACTTTTCAATCTACTTACTAATACAAATTTTAATAATATGCTGATTATTATCCAATAGAGGCAATTTTCAGTAAACAAAAATTTGACCTTAAATGAAGAAAACGACAGAATGCCATTTCATGCAGTCAACTAGTGTACAGAAAAATTCGACCTAAACAAATTCAATATATATGACAAACGGTTATAATACGATTGAATGAAATAATACAATTTTCACTTCAAGCAAGTGATTAATAAGCATCTTTTTATTTTACAGAGACAGTTTTCTCATTAAGCTCTACAAAGTCGCAGCATTTATCAGTGTAAACAACAACAGACAGCACCACTTAAAACTGAAGCATCTAAATAGGATACAAAGCACGAAAATGTTTTAAATTCCTGTTACAAAGAAATGCTAAAAATTATTTTAAACTAAAAGCTATTTTAATTTATTTAGTACAAAGCTGACAATTGTTAAGAAATCAGCTGCCCCCCCTTTTTTAAACTGATCTGGAAATCAGATAAGGAATGACTGATCAAATCTAATGCTGAGAAACATTCAAATGCTATTTTCAACCGTTACTATAGATGCAAATTATTAGCATATTATCTCTGAAATTCCTTTATTACTAGAAATGCTTGTATGTATTGGATAATATGAGACAGATTGATCATGTTTAAAATGTGAAGCTTGTCTCGCCCTTCCATACACAATTTCATTTCCTCAAAAGAAAGATTAACCCATTACCCGCTGGTGTTGCGTTAACGCAACGGTCAAAATAAATGCGTATATAAATATAACTACCTAAGTTATTTTATACCAGCAGATGATTTTGTTTAGGGAATATTATGAAGATTATTTCTGTAAAAAAATATTTGCCTTCAACTATCATTTTGTTTATAATAATTAATCTCATACTTTAAGCAAAATTTAAACAAAATTTTTGACCGGGTATTTTTGCTGAAAATATTTAACGAAAGAATCGCCGTCTTTATGAGTGATCTATTTTTAGTCAAGGTCACCATTTATCAGAACATTACATCAGTCAGATGTTAATATTTGTGTTGGGAAGGAAGAGAAAACACGTATTGCGCTGACGCAACGTCAGCAGGAAACGGGTAGTCAATCTCCTTTTTCACTCATTTCTTTTGATATTCTGTTTCATGTTCTGGTTGTTTAAAAATGCCTAGAATGAGGTTTCTTACGTTAGAAGAAGCCCTTCAAAGATTTTTTGACGAAGAAAGAGATGATGATAATGTTAATAATGACCAGAATGAAACTGATATTGTTGTTATTTCCCCACAAATTGCAGAAGCTAGTGATGAAGAAGAAAGGAATGGCAATGTTTTAAATAATGATAATGATATTTTACCAAATGATACTGCTGGGAAAGTTATAATTCATGTAAGAAGTAAGCTTCAGCCTTCTACAAGCAGTATAGTCATACTAAAAAGTTTAAAAAGCAGAAGTCTGAAATCTTGAAGTGGACAAAAAAGGAACTGTTAGTTATGTCTCAGGAAGAACATGAAGAAAGCAACAGAAGAGAAATTATAAAAGACAAAACACAAGGTAAAACTAATGTACAGATTTTCGATTTTCGTTTTGGTTTAGACATTTACTCTCTTCTCATTGAACAGACAAATCTATACGCTCAGAAAAAAAATCCCAGAATTTATTGCATCTGAAGCCTATATAAGAAGATTTATTGGAATATTATTGCTTACAGGATATCATTCTTTACTTCAAGAAAAAATGTATTGGTTCTTTTGATAAGGACATTTCTGTTCTCGTTGTACGAGAATTGATATCACGTTTGCAGTACAGGAATATGAAGCAGAATTTGCATTTGACAATAGTCAAACTGACAATAGTGATAAATTATATGAGGTGAAACCATATCTAAACTTACTAAATATCACCACTTTTTACTACTGGAAATATACTCTTTTAGATTTCAGACGCGAGAATGCATTATTCCTTTTGCAAACTCCTATTGAGAGTGTAGAATTAGCCAGAAAATAGATCAGCAATAGGAAGACCTAGTAAATTCAGCATTCAAAAACCATTGCATGGAGATGGTAGACATTTTATCGTAAAGTCCGTTAATAACAAAAGACTTTGTTGTAAAGAGTACCATAGCCAGACTGTTTATAGATGCAAAGTATGTAATGTAGCTTTACATCATGATTGTAATCAAGCTTTTCATGCTTGAATCTTTCAATTGAAATAATCCGTATTTTAAAAAAAAAATACAATGTTAATTTTAATATTAAATTAATTACAAGTAAAGTGATTTGTAGATTTATAAAACGTTATACAGCTAAAAAGTAATTCTGTGCTCCACTCAAAAGAAACATCCCACGAGTACAATCCTACTCACTAAACATTCGTAGTCTTATTCCGCTGACGCTGTGTGAACACAACACTCACGTTTCCCACAGGCAAGAGCGTTTTTTTTTTTTTTTTTTTTTTTATTTATTATTATTATTATTTTCAATGTAAATTTATGTTATAAATGCTTAATTTAATATTTGTTATTATTTTCATGAGAAAAGAAATATTCCTTGTAGTTTTGGCGGTTAATGGGTTAAGGGATATCATTTATAGAACAAAAATATTCCAATGTAAAATTTTAAATTAAGGAAAACAATTCCTCCTTAAAAAAGAGAGATCTATGTGTAATTTCCCTCAAAACTCATAATTTCACTACTTAAAGCACATTGTCTTCATCGAGGTCTGGAAACAACAAACAGAAAGAATGCAATTAATTTATCTAGTTTTGAAAAATAAAATGTGATAACGTGGCCAACAGAAAATATTCATTAAATGCCAAAAGCAGTTTTTCCAAGCAGTACGACAACTGTGTGGAAGAAAGTCTTGCCCTTCTATGCAAAATGAGTTCAAAAAATTTAATAACCCAGCTATTAGACCCAGCAGTTTGAATTTAATGAACCATATAATGAATTGCTGAATGAGGAGACAAAGGAACTCAACATTTGACTAAGCTATCGACACAAAAACTGGCATAAACTGTGTTCTCTTCCATAATTACTTTTCTTTCATTTTGTTTTATTTAATATGAATACCCATCAAAGCTTTATTATATTCAGTCCCTCACATGAGGAAAAAAAAAGTCTAAAGAAAATGGAGAAATAAAAAGAGAAGAAAATCACTGAGCTGAAAATGAGTCAAAGATTTAAAGGTAGCACAGGTGGTCCAATTGGCGTATGAAAAATCCAGAATTTAATGATCTACAATTAACTGAATAACTGATTTTTTTTTCTGAGTGTATAGATTTGTCTGTTCAACGAGAAGAGAGTAAATGTCTAAACCAAAACGAAAATCGAAAATCTGTGCATTAGTTTTACCTTGTATTTTGTCTTTTATAATTTCTCTTCTGTCGCTTTCTTACAAGAATACAAATAATTACAACAGTTGTTACAGCTACTTGAATCATGCAAATCACATAGCACAGAAACCATTTAATTAGTAAGATGAAATATCTTCCATCACTCTAACCAAAAAAGGATACCTCTTAGTAGAAGGAATACTGAAGCAAAACTATTCACATTTTTA